GCGCAATATAGCGCGATAAAATGCATGCAAAATGCAAGAAATGGTCACGGCACAAAATAGGGCGATGCACAAAGTAGCGCGATAAATGCATGCAAAATGCAAGTAATGTGCACAAAACAGTGCGATGAGGTGCGCAAGATAGCGCGATAAAATGCATGCAAAATGCAAGAAATGGTCACAGCGCAAAATAGCGCGATGCGCAAAACAGCGCGACAAATGCATGCAAAATGCAAGTAATGTGCACAAAACAGTGCGATGAGGTGCGCAAGATTGCGCGATAAAATGCATGCAAAATGCTAGAAATGGTCACAGCGCAAAATAGCGCGATGCGCAAAATAGCGCGACAAATGCATGCAAAATGCAAGTAATGTGCACAAAATTGTGCAATGAGGTGCGCAAGATCGCGCGACAAAATGCATGGAAAATGCAAGTAATGTGCACAAAACAGTGCGATGAGGTGCGCAACATAGTGCGACAAAATGCATGCAAAATGCAAGTAATGTGCACAAAACAGTGCGATGAGGTGCGCAAGATAGCGCGATAAATGGCATGCAAAATGCAAGAAATGGTCACATCGTAAAATAGCGCGATGCACAAAATGGTGCGGCAAATGCATGCAAAATGCAAGTAATGTGCACAAAATTGTGTGATGAGGGGCGCAAGATAGCGCGACAAAATGCATGGAAAATGCAAGTAATGTGCACAGAACAGTGCGATGAGGTGCGCAACATAGCGCGACCAAATGCAAGCAAAATGCAAGAAATTGTGACAGCGCAAAATAGCACGACAAATGCATGCAAAATGCAAGTAATGTGCACAAAATTGTGCGATGAGGTGCGCAAGATAGCGCGACAAAATGCATGGAAAATGCAAGTAATGGGCACAAAACAGTGCGATGAGGTGCGCAACATAGTGCGACAAAATGCATGCAAAATGCAAGTAATGTGCACAAAACAGTGCGATGAGGTGCGCAAGATAGCGCGATAAAATGCATGGAAAATGCAAGTAATGGTCACGGCGCAAAATAGCGCGATGCGCAAAATAGCGCACAAATGAATGCAAAATGCAAGTAATGTGCACAAAACAGTGCGATGAGATGCGCAAGATAGCGCGATAAAATGCATGCAAATTGCTAGAAATGGTCACAGCCACTACAAGAAAATACAGTTTTGGCGACCACTTTTGCCGACTAAAAATATTTTGGTTGCCAAAAGTTGTGAAATTGGCGACAAAAAATTATGTTAGTCGGTAAAAGTATAATATTTAGCTACTAATTTTTTTTAGTCTGGGTATATTATTTTTTGGTGACAAAAAAAATTTAGTCGCTAAAAATCTCACAATTGGTGACTAAAAAAAATTTAGTTGCTAAATTTGCCACAATTGGCGACTAAAAAAATATTTTTGTCGCTATATAGATAATTTTGGCAACTAAAATAATTTCGTCGCTGAAAGAAAAATAAAAATTTACTTTTTATCTCTGGCGACCAAAATTTTGGTCGACAAAAATTTAATTTCAGCGACTAAAAAATATTTTAGTGGCTGTATAGATAGTTTTGACAACTAAAATAAATTAGTCGCTGAAAGAAAAACAAAAATTTACTTTTTATCTCTGGCGACCAAAATTTTGGTCGACAAAAATTTAATTTCAGCGACTAAAAAATATTTTAGCGGCTCTATAGATAGTTTTGGCAACTAAAATAATTTAGTCGCTGAAAGAAAAATAAAAATTTACTTTTTATCTTTGGCGACCAAAATTTTGGTCGACAAAAATGTAATTTCAACGACTAAAAAATATTTTAGTCGCTGTATAGATAGTTTTGACAACTAAAATAATTTAGTTGCTGAATGAAAAATAATAATTTACTTTTTATCTTTGGCGACAAAAATTTTGGTCGGCAAAAATTTAATTTCAGCGACTAAAAAATATTTTAGTCGCTGTATACAGATAGTTTTGGCAACTAAAATAATTTAGTCGCTGAATGAAAAATAAAAATTTATTGTTTATCTTTGGCGACCAAAAGTTTGGTCGGCAAAAATTTAATTTCAGCGACTAAAAAATATTTTAGTCGCTGTATAGATAGTTTTGGCAACTAAAATAATTTAGTCGCTGAATGAAAAATAAAAATTTATTTTTTATCTTTGGCGACCAAAAGTTTGGTCTGCAAAAATTTAATTTTAGCGACTAAAATATTTTTTAGTCGCTGTATAGATAGTTTTGGCAACTAAAATAATTTAGTCGCTGAATAAAAATAAAAATTTATCTTTTATCCTTGGGGACCAAAATTTTCGTCGGCGAAAATGTAATTTCAGCGACTAAAAAATATTTTAGTCACTGTATAGATAATTTTGGCAACTAAAATAATTTAGTTGCTGAATGAAAAATAAAAATTTACTTTTTATCTTTGGCGACCAAAATTTTGGTCGGCAAAAATTTAATTTCAGCGACTAAAAAATATTTTGGTCGCTGTATAGATGGTTTTGGCAACTAAAATAATTTAGTCGCTGAATGAAAAATAAAAATTTATTGTTTATCTTTGGCGACCAAAAGTTTGGTCGGCAAAAATTTAATTTCAGCGACTAAAAAATATTTTAGTTGCTGTATAGATAGTTTTGGTAACTAAAATAATTTAGTCGCTAAAAGAAAAATAAAAATTTACTTTTTATCTTTGGGGACCATAATTTTGGTTGGCAAACATTTAATTTTAGCGACTAAAAAATATTTTAGTCGCTGTATAGATAGTTTTGGCAACTAAAATAATTTAGTCGCTGAATGAAAAATAAAAATTTACTTTTTATCTTTGGCGACCAAAAGTTTGGTCGGCAAAAATTTAATTTCAGCGACTAAAAATTATTTTAGTCGCTGTATTGACAACTAAAATAATTTAGTCGCTGAAAGAAAAATAAAAATTTACTTTTACTCATCACTCTTTCTCTCTCTTTCTGCCTGTCTGTCTCTCTCTTTCTCTCTATGTCTCTGTCTCTCTTCTCTTTCTCTCTCTCTCACTCATCACTCTTCTCTGTCTGTCTGTCTCTCTCTTTCTCTCTCTCACTCATCACTCTTTTCTATCTGTCTATCTCTCTCTCTGTCTCTCGCTTATCTTTCTTCTCTCTATCACTCTCATCTCTCATCTCTCTCTGTCTCTCTTCTCTTTATATCTCTCCCTCTCTCGCTCATCTCTCCCTGTATCTCTCTCGTTTATCTCTTTTCGCTCTTTTTCTCTTTCTCTCTTTGTCTGTCTCTTTTCACTAATTTTTTCATCTTCATCTCTCTATTCTCTTTCTCTCTTTTACTCATCACTCTTCTCTATCTGTATGTCTGTCTCTCTCTCTCTCTGTGTCTCTCACTCATCTATCTCTTTTCTCATCTCTTTTCTCTTTCTGTCTCTTTCGTTCATCTCTCTTCTCTCGCTCTCTCTTGCTTATCTCTCTTCTCTTTCTGTCTCTCTCGCTATCTCTCTTATCTCTCTCTCTGCCTCTCTCGTTCATCTCTCTTCTCTCTATGTCTTTCTCGCTCATCTCTCTTCTCTCTATCTCTCTCTTTGTCTCTTTCGTTCATCTCTCCTCTCTCTCTGTGTCTCTTTTTTTGTCTCTCACTCTCTATCCCTTTCTCTCTTTGTCTCTATCTCTTTCTCTTTCTCTTCATTTTCTCTCTCTCACTCATCACTCTTCTCTGTCTGTCTGTCTTTGTCTTTGTCTCTGTCTCATTTTCTCTTTGTCTCTCGCTCATCTCTCTTCTCTCTATCTCTCTCTCTCTGTCTCTCATGCTCATCTTTCTTCTCTCTCTATCTCTCTCTTTTTCTATGTCTTTCTTTCGATCATCTCTTTTCGCTCTCTTTCTCTCTCTCTCTTTGTCTATCTCCCACTCATCTCTTGTTTCTCTCTGTCTCTGTCTCTATCTCTTTCTCTCTCTGTCTCTCTCTCACTCATCATTCTTCTCTCTCTATGTCTGTCTGTTACTCTTCTCTCTCTCTTTCTCTCTGTGTGCCTGTCTGTCTCTCTTCCCTATTATGTTTACTTTGCTCACTCTCTCATTCCCCTCTTCTCTATTTACCGGGCTCTTCACTACAAGAAAATGCACTTTTAGCGACCACTTTGTCTCTCTCTCTCTCTCTCACTTATCACTCTGTCTCTGTCTCTGTCTCTGTCTCTCTCTCACTCATCTCTCTCTCACCACCCATCTCCTCTACCACATTCACTACTACTGCAAATGTCATTCCACTACTGGCATTATTACCATTGTTGCCACTCCACCTCTACAACTTCCATTACTACCACCATCGTTGCCACTCCACTACCACTACCACCACTACTACTGCTATTACCTCTCCTCTACCACCGCCACTCCATCTCCTCTACCATTACCACAACTTCACCACTAATCTCATTCGCCATTACTACTCCACTACCACTACCACTACCACCAGTTTTGCCATCACAACTCTACCTCTCTGTTTCTCTCCCTGTCTCTCGCTCATTTCTCTTCTCTCTCTCTTTCACTCATCTATCTTCTCTATCTCTCTCATCTCTTTTCAAATATTTTTTTCCCAATTATAATGTGTATGATCCCATCGTCATAAATAATAAAAAAAATATATAAATATTTTAGGTCTAGACAAACATGTTTTTTAGTTTATATTTTTAAATTTTTTAAAACATTTTGTTCAAACCAAACGCGTTTGTAATTTATGATTTTTGAAAAATAAACAAAAACCAATTTATAAAATTTATGGAAAATATTTTTCATTAAAATATTACCCTTACTTCTGCCAAAGTAAAAAAATAAGAATAATTTTTTATTCATTAAAATAAAAATGAAACAAATAAATTTTCAACCTTAATAACTGAAAAAAAAAGAGAATCAAAAAAAAAATTCATTAACTATAAAAAACAATTTATTTTAACAAAAAAAAATTTTTTTTTTTTAAAAATGAGCCATTTTGTTGTTTAAATATTACCAAAAAAACAAAAAAATATTCCCGCTCGATTTCCCACCCCCCCTTTTTTCCATTCCCGCTCGGCTTCCCACCTTCCCCATCTCTTGAACCAAAATCCCCAATCTGACAAACCAAAAATCCCCTTCAACCAAAAATCCCTAATTCTTACTGCTCCGCCGAATTCGAGAAGATCTGACTAAGAGGGTATCCAGGCTCCAATCTGTGGAGATCGAAGCCATGGCCGTTTGCCACTCATTTTCCATGATTGTACTAACAGTTGTAGCCACGACTACTGCCAGCGAGTGAGGAAGAGAAGAGATGAGAGGCAAACGTTTAGAGATGGAGGTGCAAGAAGAAAGTGAAGCAAAGTTGTTTTTTTTTTTGAAATTGGAGAGGCGAAATAGACAGCTTTGCAAAGTTGTCTCCCAGACGATATTGCCCTCAAAATCGCCTCTTCCCTTCAGGTTTCGTCCCTGCAAATTGTTTTTTTGTTTTTTTTTTGTTTTTTGTTTTTATTGTTATTTGAATGTGATGATTTTTATTATTATTATTATTTACTCTTTTTAGGAATTTCAAGCTATCAGATGTGTGCTCGTTGGGTAGTTGCTCGTGGTTTTGGCGCGAGTTGGGTGGGTCGGATTGTGTGTGGCAGTCTCTGTACAGAGACAGATGGCCAGCCCTTGATTTGGGCAGAGACTCTTCTTTAGCTCCACAAATCAAAACCCATCAGCTTGACCCATAAATTCAGTCCTCCTCCATGGTTCTCTCTCTCTCTCATGTTCAGTTCATTATCTTTTTTTTTTTTTTGGGTTCAGTTTCTTGTTTCAATTATTTGATTTTGGGAATTTTGTGTTATGTGCTTGAATGAAGTGATTATTAATAGTGCAACATAATTTAATTTATTTGGGTTTGTTACTCTGTCTATTGTTTTTTAGCTGGGTTTGAACTTTAAAGTCTTTATGAGGACTATACCTTTGTCAATTTCTATTGAAATATAGAATGGTGTCCTATGCATTTGCCGTGCAACATCCCCTTTTTAATGAGAACAATTGTAGACTTTAGAATGTTGGGAACACTGACAGTGTCCATGACTTCACGCTTTATTGTACTTTGATTAGGTTCCTATAGTAGATAATATATGTTCCTTGTGGGTTGTTTGCTGCCATTTGAGAAATTTATGACTGAACTTGTAACAAAAGGGAACTTCCAAAGGGAATTGACAACCATTTTTGATCTATTTCCTCTATTGGCTCATGCTACTTGTGTCACGCCCCCAAACCGCCCCTAATAGTTTGGTGCCGTGATGGCCAGTAATCCGAGATTACCGAAGGCCGACTTACAAGAATCACACACAATCAGAGTATAAAAATAAGGGGCTCACAAGTGCGGAAGCAATATATATATATACAAAGGTCGGAGTAGTCCATGAGAGCCGTGCATAAGTTCAATGAAATGACATACATTCTTACAAAGTCTTAAAACTTAAATACAATAAGGAAATGAGTTACAAAAATACATCTTGACCAAAAGGCTTCTCAAGCCGACATATGCAAATTACACATGACACAAAGCTAAGGAGCATGATCTTCAAGACGTCACAAAATGTAAATCCAAAACACGTCGGCACAGCATTCACAACACATCGGCAACACATCTAGGTCTCAATGCCTTCTTGCTCAACACCTACATATATATAGAGAGGGTGAGCTTGGATACTCAGTGAATGATATTAGAAATAAAGGTTTTGCATGATTCATAGCCGAGATTTCTTTCAAAACGATACATAGCATACTTTACAGTCAAGGGGGAAATCGAGTTCATTGCCGGCCTTTTAAATTCCTTGGATGTTAATAACATCTACATATTACAAGTGCGATGACATATCAAGACAAGAGTGCAGTTGCATTATAGTCCCCTGCAACTAAGGACTTTCAAGAAATGTCATCAAAAGCATTATAGTCCCCTGCAACTAAGGACTTTCAAGACAAGAGTGCAGTTGCATTATAGTCCCCTGCAACTAAGGACTTTCAAGACATGCCATCAAAACAAGATAGTGGTTGATATACAAATAGGGATAGGCATCATGCTAAATCAAATACTTTTCATCAAACAAAGCGAAACGAGATTCACCAAAACAAGTTTAACATAGCTTTATTAAAAATACCACTCACATAGCTCTTCAAACGTCGGGTTCGAGACGAGTCCAAGTCCTACAAACACATGGCAAGGCCTATTGAATGCACTTTCAAACAAGCTTTATGTGTATACAAATGATTTCGGAAAAAATGCTGGGCACTAACCACGTCTAGGCCGAGGTTCCACACCTCCTTGTCGAGGTGTGTCCCCGAGGGCCACATGCAAGGAAAAGAGGTTGGGAAACTACGGGTTTCCCTCTGCCGATGAATATGAAGAACATGGGTGTGAAAACATGAGAAATATGAATGTTCATTCACAATCTGTTATCACAAATCTGGGGTTTTCATGCTACGAGTTTGAAAACATGGACCTGGGTACCCGTACTTGAAGTACTCGCGGGAATAAACACAAAAACATGGAACTTGTTACAAACTTTCGGATCAAAACATGGTTCCATCTCAAGAACATAAGAACATCACTTTTTCTTTCTAAAACAAACTTTAAATCAATGCATGGCTCATGAATCATGTTGGATCATGCAATGCAATCGGATCAACATAAAGGATAACAAGAGTAAATCAAGATTCTAAGCTCAAAACACGGATTAAACGGCTCAAACTCTAAGGATTGAGCTTGGGATCTAGCTCTCTCACTCCAACCTCCTCTCCTCTTCCTAGAGCTTCTCTCTCTACCATGCAAGAGATATGACACAAAATGATATGTTTCTAACTCTGCCGGCTGACTTAACCCTCTGCTAGGACACGTGGCAACGGCTAGTTGGATCTCCCCAAAAAGGTGATAGATTGATAAGACAAGAGCATAACAAAGTGTAAGCAATAAGTAAGGTGATAGGGCACTTCGGCGGGTAATGATCTCGGTTAGGACAAAGCTTCAGCAAGTAGGGTCTCAATGATCTCAGCTATGAAGGACAACACCTAGCCTAGCTGTGCCACACCTCGGCCTAGATGTGCCACACCTCGGTCTAGGTCATACCAGTCTAGGAACAAGATCACCAGGTGCAGGGATCAAAGATCTAAAATACCTAAAGGATAACATCTCGGCTTAGATGATACATATCTCGGCCTCGGTGATGCACACCTCGGCCTAGATGACAACATCTCGGCCAATATACCAGGGCGAAGGTGGAGGTCAACCAAAGTAGTTTCAAGATGGTCCTAGGTGTTAGAGGTTCAAAGGTGCAACCTAGGGGTGCAAGGTAACATCTCGGCTAATGTGACAAGGCAAGGACGGAGGTCAACAAGGGGTTCCAAGATACTTCTAGACTGAGGGTGACCTCGACTTGGGATAACATCGGCTAACATAACTCAGGCAAGGCGTGACCTAAGTTTTACATCCAGGAAGGAACAAGACAAGCACACAACACTTTAGACAAATCACAAGGCTTCAAAACAAGGCATGGATCTCACTCACTTAAGCGGGACAAGTCACGAACATGCACATGCAAGCCTAACAAACCATAATCATACAGATGCTCATGAACATAATTAAGACATAAAATGTGGGTTCTTACAGTCTACCCTCCTTAAAGAAGTTTGGTCCCCAAACTTAGGTTACCTTGTCCTACGAATAACTCCGGATAACAGATTTTCATTTCTTCTTCTTTTTCCCACGTGGCCTCCTTGCTATAATGCTTCACCCATTCGATTTTTACCATCAATATCGACTTGTTTCTCAACTGTCTCACTTGTCTGTCAATAATCCTCATCGGTTTTTCTTCGTAGCCTAGATCTTCGTTAACTGCAATCCCGGAATAATCTATCACATGCAGTGGGTCTCGGACATATTTCCTCAACATCGAAACATGGAACACGCTGTGGACCTGACTCAAATCTGGTGGCAAAGCAAGTCTGTAAGCAACGGTGTTAACCCTCTCGAGAATTTCAAATGGCCCAATGTATCGGGGTGCAAGTTTACCCTTCCTCCCAAATCTCGAAACTCCTGTCATCGGCGAGACCTTCAAAAATACATGATCCCCAATTTCAAATTCTAACTCCCTCCTTCTCTGGTCGGCATAACTCTTCTGTCGACTCTGTGCGGTTTTAATCCTCTGCTGAATGAGTTTAATCTTTTCAGTTGTCATTTGAACCATCTCAGGGCCAATTAGAGCTTTGTCTCCTACTTCAGTCCAACATATCGGCGATCTGCACTTCCTTCCATACAAAGCTTCATACGGCGCCATGCCTATGCTGGCTTGATAACTGTTGTTGTACGCGAACTCCACTAATGGCAAATGTGATTCCCAACTCCCTTGGAAGTCCAACACGCACAGTCTGAGCATGTCTTCGAGTGTCTGGATCATTCTTTCCGTTTGTCCATCGGTCTGGGGGTGAAAGGCTATGCTAAATCTCAACTCTGTTCCCAAGGCTCCTTGTAGACTCTACCAAAATCTAGAAATGAACTTCGGATCTCGGTCTGACACAATGGACATCGGCACACCATGAAGCCTAACGATCTCATTCATGTACAATTCGGCAAGTCGGTTGTGGTTTGGAGATCTCTTGACAGGCAAAAAGTGAGCTAACTTAGTAAACCTGTCAACTATAACCCAAATGGAATCCATACCCCCTTGCGTCCTCGGCAAACCCACTACAAAATCCCTTTCTGCGTCCTCGGCAAACTACTACCGAAATCCATGAGATGTTCCATTCCACTCAGGATTGACAAAG